AACTTGCCACTACAGCTTCTAGATATACAATCAATATATACAACTTGTGAGTACTACTCTGACGTAATCCATCCCCCCACTGGCTCTAGCCAAGACAGCCAGCATACAGGTCCTGGTAGTGCACTCCCAATGATGGGTTTTAGTTCCAGACGCCCTCCTCAATCTCTCGTAACGGCCACAATTTTCTGACCGGATGTCGACGCGGGAACGACCAAAAAATGATCGGGACGTGCTGCTCCTGTAGCCCCAGCCATGGCCAGATAAATTGGTGGCCTGTCTGGTGACGCCCCTTTCTGGTCATTTTCTAGCCGGCGCTGCTCAGGTCATTTAAAGGCATTTTTTTAATACTCAAAATTTGAATGTGGCTTTTGGATATGTTTTATAAACTTAGAATTTACCTTCATAAGAGCATATTTTTGTCAATTCAAATAATGGAATGTTGTATTTCTATAATTTAATGAGCTAAAATTATCCTTCCGTATGGTTGTTCAACATATAGGCTAATACATCGATTTTTTTTTCTATTTGTTTTGTTTTAACATAACAATATACAAAAATAATTTTAAAAAAACATAATTGGGCCTACTAGTCAATGCACGGAAGCGATAAACATAATCCACAACAAATAGGAAATAACCAAGTGCCAAATGTATATTTTTCACACAAACCCGTTCAACTGTAAAATGGTCGCAACAAATATCGGTAAAGCTTTGAAGACTAACACTTATCTCTTTTAACAGGCAGCCAGATTGACACATTGGATATTGTTTGATTTAGTCTAATGGAACTAGAAGCGATAGGCTTGTACATTCAGATTTATGAGATATATTTAAAAAATCCTTGTACTGACAGACCTGTATAGACTTTAACCGACATACTTGTACCAATAGTTTTGTACCGACTCCATTGTACCAAATTATTTCACCATCATATAAGTATCGGTGGAATCGTACCGACAAGCTTGCGCTTGTACCCAAAGGTTTGATCCGACACATTTGTGCCGACAGACTAGTACCGACAGATCTGTCTTAGGGACTGTGCCCGACAGTTAGAGCCCAAGCTAGACTAGACTCCTACAGAAAGGTACACCCAGAATGCAATCAGTTCTTCTTCACTCTGCTCAGGTATCAATTTCCGTTTTTCAAAGGTCAGTTCTGAAACCCTTCATCAGCACTCATGACAAGCTCAGCAGTTCGAGTAAGAGGGGTGGGGGAGCGGGGGGTGAGGGTGGTGCAGAGGGGAGAGTTTTAAAAAGCGTCACTTTAGTTCTAAATTTGACGCCGCCCAGGAACCGGTCACGTCCGACCGCTGCGTCGAAATTTCGTTTTCAATGCGCGTAATCAAATATGCTTGATTAACTTGAACTCATTAGCGGGCCGCTTAAAAATATTTTCTGTCACTCATGAGTGACCTTGACCTTTGCGATGATGATGGCAATTATAAGCCAGCCAATGCCAATTTTCTTTAGATTTAGCGTTAGTACGTCATTAGGTCTTGTAGACGGTGGGGGTCGTGTTCTATAGGGAGGGGGGGGGGGTATATGCTATAGACGGATCTTTGTGGGTTGTGTTCCAGGGTAGAAGTTGGCGGAATTTTGGGGCTGGGGGTAAATCCTGGGGGAGGGGTCTGTTGCCGTGGACAAAACATCAGGTGTCTTATTCTGTTATTGTGGAGCACACTGGGGTCAGTGTTTCTTCCAGGCATCTCTTCGGGGGTGGGACACCGCCCCCACCGAAGTGAGTCTACCGCCTCCCCCCCCCCCCTGAACGAAATGTAATTCATATAGAAAATATATACTTGTAACAGTGTCTGCCTCCACCCCCCCCCCCCCCCCGAAATTTCAAGTGTCTGGAAGAAACACTGACTGGGTTCATGTGCTGAGGGTGTTGTAACAGAATTCCCGAACTAACATCTGCAATTTGTTTATGATTTCCATGTGAAGCACAAAGTAGAAAATAGGATCAAGCAATGATCTACATTATAAAGCTTGAAAACCATTTGTTTATTACCTTCCGATTTGTTATACACAACATGTGCTTGTGTCAATAAATGACGTCTGTGCTGATGGAAATCACGTGAAGTCTCGCCGCGCTTATTTATAAACATGATCTGGGTCAAGGCAATGACAAAAGATATCAAGGGGGGTAATCGGGCAAAAATGTGATGTTATCAAGCAAACTATGATCAGGCATTACTGGGATAAACATTGTTTAGAAAGAGATTGTAATATTATGTGTATATATATATATATATATGTATATATATATATATATATATATATATATATATATATATATATTCAAGTGGATGTATAGCGCCCCAATAGATTCATCCTCATAACCAACACAACGAAGTTTGGCTTCAAAAATTGCATGTAAAACTAAAGAAAAACTAGAATGGAGAGCAAAGTTATGCTATAAGGCACCTGCCTACAAGTTATTCTGCTTTCATCAACAAAAAACATAATTAGTAATTAAAACATTTAAATCGAGTTGCGGTAGAGATGTGGTTGAACCCCAAAACAAACGTGTATCAACCATTTTGACTGCGGTTTTCTGGCACTGTGCCTATATTTTAAAGTGGGATAGCAAGCATGGTAGTAGATTGAGGGTTTCACGTATGAAGACATAAACAAATCGGCCGTATGGATTTTAAGAATCATACTCATGACAGCTGCTGAAATCATAAATATCGGTACTTGATGCATATATATATATATATATATATATATATATATATATATATATATATATATATATATATATATATATATATATATATATAGTAAAAGCCGGGGTAATTCCACACACGGGGTAATTCCACACACTATATACTGGATACTCTCTATTTTTAATGGGAGTAAAGTTTAATTAAAAGTTACTATTCCCTTTTACTAAGAGGTGATTTCTTGTACTTTCTGATACTGTTAGAGAAGCGTTCACCTACAATCAGAGCAAGAATTTTAATTTTATCTGCATCTATCTTCAAACATCCTTAGGTAAGTACAACCCCTGCACTTTTTAAAAAATATTTTTTTTGTCTTATTTTTAATTGTTGTCAATTATTTATTGATTTTATGAAAGCTTAATCATTTTTGTTAATAGTAACAGTTAATGATGCTAGATTCAGCCTTTAATTTAGAACAGGAAAGCATATTTTTTTCAATAGTAGGTGTGGGGCAATTCCACACACATGGTGTGGGGCAATTCCATACACTATAGTTTGGAATGTCCCATGTTGCTTTTTATACTCTTTAGAGGGTTTAGCTTTTATTTTAAACCATTTTAACTGGTTGTGGCTAAATCTGTAATTCACTACTCATTATTTAATCTTAAAAAATACTTAAATAGTACTAGATATAGTACTAGAGTCTATTTATTTTTAAAAAGACTCTGCTATTAAAGTTAAGTAAAACTGCCACAGACTTCTTTTAACTCTTTATCTATTATTATTTTTACTGTACCTATATTATTTATTATAATATATGCAATATTTAGAGCTAAACATCCCCATACACACAATAGTAATGAGACTTTCTAACATTTAATTTTGTATTTATTTCAGAATGGTCCACAATTATAAACGAATAACTTTGACCTATGACAGTAGAATTCATGAGGAAGAAATTGAGGCTTTCTCTTCATCCAGTGATGAAGAGTGGTTGCCCCCATGCAAAATTGTTTCCAAGGGGAAAAATGTTTTTCACACATTTTTAAATACATGAATTTTAAAATTTTCATAATGTGTGTGGAATTGCCCCACTTGCCATGTTTTTTGCAATAAAAGTGAAATATTAAAAAAATGTATTTTATTTTGTGAATTATCTCTATATTTGTTTGCCATCATATAAGTAATGCATGTCTAGTTATACCCTCAATATTATATTTTGGCAGTGTTAATTTTAGATTTTTTACAAATTTTTTAGAAAAGTAGTGTATGGAATTACCCCGGGTTACCCTATATATATATATATATATATATATATATATATATATATATATATATATTGTGTGCGTGTGCGTGCTTGAGTGTATGCGTGCTTGCCTGCGTGTGAGCGTGTTTGAAGTGCGAGAGATTGCGAGACAGAGAGACAAAGTGGCTGAGAGACAGAGAGAGAGAGAGTGTGTGTGTGTGATAGAAACTGAGAGAGAGACAGAGAGAGAGAGAGAGTATACTGTGTCAACATTTTTGTATTTCATCATTATGAACTTAATTAAGCTTCTAAATTTAGCAAGAAATGAAAGACCACAGCTGGACACATTGGCAGACGTCGCACGTGTCTACGTCATCACGTGACCTGCCACGTCTGGCCCTGTGACCCCTGACGATAGAGGGAGGATTTATTAAATGGAATCACCATCTGGCATCATTGTATTGCTATTTGTACGGATGTCTATCAATCCTGTGTTAGCGCAGCTAGCACTTTTAGAAGTAATCCTAGCGGCTGGTCCCTCCCACTGACGTTTGCACATGCGCAGTAGTCATGTTGGAAGTGTTATACTTTCTGATTCTTCCATAACGCCCCATCAATAATTAAACAATTAACAAACTGTGTTTTAGGAAAAAAACGTAATAATTAAATGTACAAATGACTATAAAAACAAATAATAAAACAAATGTTTTTGTTGGAAAAAATAACCGAAAAATTTGTTTGGTTCAGATTTACATCAAGAATCACTAACTAATCCGGTTGGTAGTATCCACTGTCTTCAAACACTATGTTAAATATATAAGTGTAATATATCATTAGTATAACAATAACGTTTCGCCTATATTTTTTTCAGATATCTATCTGTCAGTGACATTACAGTCGCAAGATAGGATAACCACGAGAAATATACTCACAAGCTAATGACGTCACACTGACTGACTCACGTAAACTTCGCAGCCGCGATCTAACCTGGATCTGAGCGTCAGAGGTTCGAGTCTTTCACCAGTTACCTATGCAGCTGTAACCACTCAGGCATGTCCACACAGGCCTGCCACCTACCCGACGAAAAATGCAGCCCTTGTCACAAGTCTCCAGCGACAAGGTCAAGGCCGGTCTTCAGGGGTCAACTGTAGGCGCCAGCGCCGCCACCGACCCCATGCGAGATTTGACCGGGTCCACGGACAGCCACTTCCAGAATGTCTCCAGCCACGCCTTCTCCCTCGCCAACACTACCGGGATGTCCGCGTTTCAGAAACTTCTGGAACCGGTAGAAAACTTCACGGCGATTGAAAGCCTCGTTGAACCGATTTCTAACGTCACCACTTTTAAAAGTCTTGTAGAACCGTTAGGAAATCTCACGAGAGTTTCAAATCTCGAGAATGTTTCAGACATTGGCGCCCCTCTCAATTTGATATCGAACCTTACACCGAACTCGGATATTCAGGTCTCACCGCTTACGTCATCAACCGACAGCTCCGACTCTGCTGCCACCCTGACCCAAGCCCTCGACAGCCTCCTCAACAACCTGACAGCATCCTACGAGCACTACAAGTCAACGCTCTCCTCCAACCAATCCATATCGTTCGAGGACTTTTTCCACTCGACCTTCTCGGTGGCCAACACCACCCAGCCCGCAGTTCGAGACTTCAACCTCACCTCTCCACTTCCCAGCCCATCCCTCCAAGGCTTCACCGACACCATCCTCTCCTCCACCGAGGGCATATGGGCCGCGTCCTCCTACGATAATTTTACTCACTCCCTCTCCTCCAACGTGACGGAGCCGCTCTATGGCGTTGATCGCACGACCGCCGAGGTGGTCTTTATATCTATAGTGGTCAGTTTACTGGCCATACTGACCGCTGGTGGTAATATGCTCGTTATCGTCGCGTTTAAACTGGACAAGAATCTTCAAACTGTCAGCAATTACTTCTTGTTGAGCCTGGCTGTAGCTGACTTGACCATTGGTATAGTGTCCATGCCATTATATACGGTCTACCTGCTGATGGGCTACTGGCCGTTAAAGGCTCTAATGTGTGACGTGTGGCTGTCGCTGGACTACACCATGAGCAACGCGTCTGTTGCCAACCTTATCATCATCAGCTTTGATAGATACTTAAGCGTCACTCGACCTTTGACATATCGAGCGAAAAGAACGCCGCGAAGGGCCGCAACCATGATTGGCTGTGCGTGGGTTATCTCCTCCATTATTTGGACGCCCTGGATATTTGCATGGCCCTACATAGAAGGCGACAGAACAGTTCCTGAGAAAGAATGTTACATCCAGTTCTTAAAAACGAACCAGTATATAACCGTTATAACCGCCATGTTCGCGTTCTACATCCCTGTTATAATTATGTCTGTGTTGTACTTCAGAATTTACATGGAGACGCAGAAAAGGCAAAAGGATCTGCCAAAATTGCAAGGCATGCACAAATCAAAGAAGATCAAAGACCCGCAGCGGCTGCACCAATCGAGCAAGAAATCCATGGCGTCCAGCGACGAGGAAGGTTATTCTAGCACGAGCGAGAGGGGGAACCACATAATCGTCAACCAGATGCCCCACGACAGCGGAGAAACCGGAAATGTGAAAAGTAAATTCCTGGGTTGTATAAAAATTGACCGGGACTCGGACTACCTGGAGGACTCCAGCTCCAGCGAGCCGCCGGGTTCCCCGCCCACTTCCAACGCTCATTCCAACAACGCTTTGCCTGCCCTCGCCACGCCCAAGTCCAACGGAGACAAAGGTCTGCCCCGGCAAGACTCCGATAACTCCAACACCAGCCTACACGTTCCCTTCGCCAGGCCGTCTCGCTCCGTCAGGATGAACTTCAGCACGTCGTTGATACCGCTGCTTCCCATCGACACGCCCAGCCCGACCACACCTTTCTCCATCTACAGAGATATGAGCCTGGATACCATGTCCTCGACGCCCGATCAGTTCCTCTCACCTTTCAGCGAGGTCTTGTCTTCAAGGCCCCCTTGCACTTTAACAACATCTTTCTCCGATCCTATTTCGAGCGTCATGCTCGACCACCCTGTCACAGACCCGTCGTTGGCTACACTAAAACGACCTCGGAAAGAAAGCGACGACGAAGATGAGGACGACGAGGACAGCGCCATGTACCGGGTGCTGATCCGCCTGCCGGACTCTGCTGACGGTTTCAGCTCGCGTCCGACGATACGGATGGAGCCGGAGGAAGACCTGGATAGATTCAGCGAGATGAACCCATCGCTCGTCCAGAGAAACGACAGCGACACGGACGACGATGATCTCCACCTCAGGCGGTTCCAGGACCGGCCGTCGCTACCACCGCCGGTCCGACCGCCGACAGGGACGCCGGCCCTGGCCCGCCGCGCCCACAGCAGTGACTCGAATAAAGTGGCCATGCAGGCCAAAATCGCGGCCAAGGCGGCCACTCGGGTAAACAAAGCTCGGCAGATAGCGCGGTCGAAGATGCAATCAAGGCGGCAGGAGCGGCGGCAAGACCAGAAGGCGGCCAAGACGCTGACGGCCATTTTGTTGGCGTTTATTGTCACGTGGACGCCATACAACATTTTTACCGTCGTTGAGGTCTTTTGTGAAGGTTGTGTTAACAAAACTCTATATGCCATAGGTAAGGCTTTTAATACTTTGCTAACAACACTCTGTATTTATAGGTAATGCTTTAAATACTTCGCAAACAAAACAATATATGCCATAGATAAAGCGCGCGCTCGCTCACCTTTGTGTTTACGTTTGTGTTTGTCTTTGTATTTGAGTTTGCGTTACGTTTGTGTTTGCTTTTTTATTTGCGTTTGCGTTTGTGTTATGTTTGCGTTTGTTTTTCTGTTTATGTTTGGTTTTGGTAGGCTTTGGGTACGGTTCATTCGAAAAGTAATATATTACCTAAACCTATCTACAATCTCACAACGGAACATAGGTCACTAACATGACAGGATCGCTGAAGTCGTTTTATTCCAGTTTTATTCCAGTTTTATTCCAGTTTTATTCCACACTTCTAAATAATACGGCCATCTCCCCCCCCCCCCCCACACACAACCGTACCTAACACCCACCCTCAAATAACTACCCCCCCCCCCTCCCATACCTTATAGCGCCACCCCTCATCTATCAGCCGACCTCCCCCAATAACTCCCCTCGCTTCACCCCCACCACTTCACCACTTCACCACTTCACCCCTCCCCTAACCCCCACCACTTCACCCCTCCCCAACTACCCGATCACTCTCCCCACCCCAATCTCCCCCTTGCCACACACCTCTCCCATCCCTTGTAATCACGTCTAACAATAAATTTTGGGAAACGACTATCTTTAAATACATCCTTGACCTGACATGTCGGACTTGGTTTGCAGTCAGCACAGTTGACCCTAGCTGACCACAGGATGGTCCAAGTGAGTTTTTTTAAGTGAGGGCCAATGGCTAGCAGTAACAATGCTGGACCACTGTGACCTGTATCTCATTCAATGACCCAGAACAGACCCTCGCCTGATACGAGCTTGGTCATAACATTTCCAAAACAACAATCTTGGACCACTGTGACCTTTCGTAAGCTTAAATGACCTGGATCTTACCCTAACGTACTACATTTCTTAATCCAGGTGAGTTTTGCTCATTCACAACATGACGGCCAGTGTGGGACTACGGTGACCTGCTTTAGCTGACATGACCAGGGTCTGACCCTAGCTAGGTGTAGTCATGGACCCGGTACGATTGATTCAGTCATAAAATGACAAGAATGGACCACAGTGACCCCTCTGGACCTTGTTGTGTACTAAATGTTTACCGTCTAGGTAAACTTCAGTGTTATAAGCTCATGACATATGGATCCCCACAATAATTGTCTTCTCTGTGCCTTTATAACGTAGATCGTCAGGCGAAACTTTGGCAGCAAAAGTGTATTAGATCACACAAGCTAATAAGCATGGTCACGGTTACTGCTTCATGCGGACTGTCAACACTCATATTCAAGTATGCCTTAATTTATGTATGATAGAATTGGAACAATGTATCACTATTTTCAAATTGATCTATTCGTTTCCGGATAATCGGCTAGAAATTTTGGAAATGTGTTTTTGTTAACCTTACGCTTGAAAATGTTTACGGCAAATAAAATACCGGGTAGCACATGATGAAAGTCTTCGGTGAAAAACTGGGTTGTTTCCCTGTATAAATAAACACTCAGGAAGTAGATTCCCCGATAACGTCCCCTGCTCTACACTAAACACATACAGTGTTGTGTGGAGCACTTGTGATGTTTAGCAAAGTAGTTGAGAAGGGTAGTTAAGTGTTCAACCGAATCCGTACAACAGTTAAGCTTCGGGTTGTATCGAAGTCAAACCTTAGGTTTTTAGTAGTTACCTAAGGTTGTACAGTAGTTTAATTAAAGGCCGTACGTAAGGTTAAATATAAGCTGGGCATTGTAAGAACCTCGGCTGAACATCAGGTTTATCAGTAAAACGTTAACTGATGTTTAAGATTTATCAATCCAGAAGGATAAACTATGCATGTTTAAAATAGTATCACATTAATCAACGTTTTGCACTGCAGATAATTCATAAAATCTAGAGTAAAAATACCAAGGCTCTCTCCCCCCCCCCCTCACACACACACATACACACAAACAGTCCTAAACTATCCTGAGGTACCTGATATCTCTTCAGTTAAAGGTACATTTTCTTTTGTCTGTACTGTTAGTACATATTTCAAATTATATATATATAAATATATATATATATATATATATATATATATATATATATATATATATATATATATATATATATATTTACATATGAGTGTGTGTATGTGCATGTGTGTGGGGATGTGTGTGTCAGCCCTATCCCCTTCCATCAATGACATCCTGCAAACGTTTATGTTGACATGCATGTACTAATCAGTTGATTATCTTAAGATATCCAGTAATGACAATTTGTCAGGCCTAAAATCTACTTTTGAAATATTTTAACGGCTCCTTGATTTTATGCTCCCTTTCGGAGTGGGGGTGAAGTGATGTGGAGGGTGGGGAAGGGGACATCTCACACTGACCCTAGATCCGCCACTCCCAAAAGTGTCCAGATCAAGTGTAGAATGGTCTGTCGTTACTTAGATCCTAGATCCAAGTTTCATGTATGCATCTCTAGTCTATCAACAGCCCTTGTTTAAAGCTAGACGCCGCTGAAATAAGATTTATGATCAAGACAAATATTGTAAGAGATCCATTGTCGTTGATTTGTCAGACGTCAAATTGCATTGGCAGGCGAGACATTGGAGCCTGATAATTTTTCTCGCCGTTCTCGGGAAAAAAGTGTTTAGCAGACGTTGAGCAAACCTTAGGGTTTTGTTAAAAAACTGTATTTCAAACACGTGTGGAGAAAAAGTTTTGTTTACATGTCGAGAAAAATCTGGCCGACGAACATAAATGACACATTTCTAAGACTTTTGTGTCTCCTTGTCCGGTGAGTGTAAACTCCGAGCTTAAATACACACAAACTCTGAGCTCAAACACACACACACAAACTGTGAGCTCAAACACACACAGACCGGGCTAATGACAGATCGACCGCCGGGGAAAAATTTTTTGAATTTAACTTTCAACGCCGCCAACAACAAAGTAAAGAACAACCCTGGCATTCTGTTCCAATAAAAGTTTTGGGATTATTTTCAAAAACTCGCTGGAACGGGGGTTAGAGTAATCTCCCCTAGCAAAAGTATGTGTTAATAATTGTTTGCTTGATGCCAAAGCCACAACACCTTTAAGATGTTAGGTATGGGTCCCGCTTGTCCCGATGTTTGGTGCAAGCCTCATCTTAGTAGACATTAACACAACACGGCTCGTTAGAAACGTGTGTCCAATTCCAGCCTACACGCCCGGTGACCCCTGACCCGCACACTTCCTGTCTTGTCCACTCATCTAAACTTAATGCCGTCCACACCCCGAGGAAATGACCGCTGGAGAACTGACATTTCTTCCAGGTTTTTGTGTGCCTTCTTTCATTCATTCAGTAGAGAAGGCAACTCTAGGCTTGTAAGAGACAACTAAGTTTGATCGACACGAAATGTGTGTTGCACATTGTTTAAATCTTAGTATACTAGTAAAATAAAAACTTAACACATATACACACATATGAGGTGTGTTTTTGTAATGCTGTGTTTAAACGTATTATTTAACAATGTTCTATGAAGAAGAAAAAACATGAAAAGTATAAATGATGGCAGTGCGCAAAAAAAAAAATCAAGCTGCATTTTGAAATGACATCAATCCAATAGATCGGAGCAGTAGATCTCCAAAGAGAAACACAGAAATCAGAACACTACCACTTTTTATATGGTGACACAAGATTTCTCAGTTCAAAAATTAAATGAAAACATAATAAATAAAATGTATTTTGACATTTTTAACTGACATTAACAACAAAAATTTATTTGAAAAGAGTTCTTCCAGAAGTCTATGTAGATTGATTTAGCCACGGACCAGTAAGAAGTCAATTAATCCATCCCTAACATTTCACCTGGAGGCTATTGCAAAATGTATGTGGAACCAAAAGACCAATTGATTTGCTTTAGATAACAAAAAATGGCAATCTTTTAGCTGCATCCTGCCCAGGGCGCCTGGTGATGTGAATATTAATTATAGTGTTGATATTAGCGTTGATGTTGATTTGATGCTCATGTAAAACACGACATAACCCAATGTTTATTTGTCAGCTGTTGAGTTGATTAAATCTTTTATTTATTGCCTTAGTGCTCTATTTTCCATGGTTAGAGCACTTTGTATGGATCAAGGTGGACATCATTAAAACAAATGTCATGTTGGAGAGGTAATATTTTAATTGTATAGAACAGGATAAAATTGTCGTCATCGGAGCTTTGCCTATAGGTACATCCAACCCTAGCAGCTCTGTTGGTGCATCGACTCAGTCTACAAGAGGATAGTTCATCTTCTTCAGGCGACTCATATATTCATTCTAAATAAGACACATACCACTGTCTAACGTACGTGGTCGTAGTTAGTGGCAGTGGTGCTGGTAGTTCAATGATCAGTGGTGCTGGTAGTTCAATGATCAGTGGTGCTGGTAGTTCAATGATCAGTGGTGCTGGTAGTTCAATGATCAGTGGTGCTGGTAGTTCAATGATCAGTGGTGCTGGTAGTTCAATGATCAGTGGTGCTGGTAGTTCAATGATCAGTGGTGCTGGTAGTTCAATGATCAGTGGTGCTGGTAGTTCAATGATCAGTGGTGCTGGTAGTTCAATGATCAGTGGTGTTGGTAGTTCAATGATCAGTGGTGCTGGTAGTTCAATGATCAGTGGTGCTGGTAGTTCAATGATCAGTGGTGCTGGTAGTTCAATGATCAGGTGGTGTTGGTAGTTCAATGATCAGTGGTGTTGGTAGTTCAATGATCAGTGGTGTTGGTAGTTCAATGATCAGTGGTGCTGGTAGTTCAATGATCAGTGGTGCTGGTAGTTCAATGATCAGTGGTGCTGGTAGTTCAATGATCAGTGGTGCTGGTAGTTCAATGATCAGTGGTGCTGGTAGTTCAATGATCAGTGGTGCTGGTAGTTCAATGATCAGTGGTGCTGGTAGTTCAATGATCAGTGGTGCTGGTAGTTCAATG